AATTGTGTATTATTAAATTTATTTAACTATTAATGCATTTAACTATTTTAATTTGAATTTAGCAAAATATATAAAATCATTAAATCTAATTATGATAAAATATAGTATTATATAATTTATAATGAAAATGATGTTTTCACATTTGGATAGCTGCAAAAAAGGGGCTAAATATAGGCAATATTATATACGGACACAAAAAAATTTTCCTGCGAAGATCCATTCGTTAATTAATAATATTGTCGACTGTTATCACTTATAACCGTAGCAATAATATTATGAATTACTATTATTATTATTATTATTATTATTATTATCAGCTATGCCGACGACACGCGGCTTAGCAGCCACCGCGCCGTCGCCAGATAAGATAACCAGATAAATCGTGATTCATGAATATTGTGCGTTGCATTCGTGTTTCGCCGCGTCGGTAATATAAACTAATGCAAACTTTCAATCATTTTTATCGTGTACTGTGTAGCTGTATAATAGTCGTTGCTATGGTACCCGTTGTAAATAACTAATAATTATCATGCCTATACCGTTACTTTCAATAACTAAAAACGACGTTTAACTACCCATTTATAGGACAGGCGACAGCAGCTATAGTATTAATTGTTTTATATTATTTTATTTTAATCGAACAACGGTTTTTGTATCAATTTTTCAGCACACTTTTCAGTGCCTAAACGGACATTGTCATCATGGTAGTAGCCAATGAAAATGGTAGCACATACACGCCAACAGTTGTGGCGCAGGTCCGTTACATGTTACAATGGTTTGGTGAGTGGAGCGAATTGGAACGTGGTGACTTCCTGCCAGTGTTGGTTCACGGGTTCGGGTGTAACAGCAGCGCTGACAATGGTTTACCGTCAATCATGGAAACCCTGTGCAAAGAGGAAGGCCGTCCACTCAGTCTGTTCAAATGTCGTATCAAGCTGTTCACCGAATGGGTCCAGACTTGGTCCGATGAAGACAAAGACAGCTTCCTGAGCGGCATACGTTCTATGGACACAGATTTTGCAGAGAGATACGAACAAAAAGCCGTTAACCATGTTGTGGTCAGCAGCTCAGAACACTGCAATGGTATTAATGGGGATAAAAATCCTGATGAATTACCGGAAGAAACAATTTAAATAAACAACATTCATCACATATTTAAAAACTCCATGATTCCAATTAAAACTTCATTGATAGTTGAAAAGTTTTACTCAGCTATTCATTTTGGTAATGTATTCTTGCATAATGGTTATTTTAAATTGAATCTGTTTTAAAATAGGTTTTTACAATCTACATATTTTATAATAATATAATATATTACAATGCTTAGTACATTCCAACCTTTCTATACTTAGGTAGGTATCTATAACTTATACTGTATAATACCTATTGATTTATCATAAATTGTTACTACTTATTTTGTATTTGTGTACACATCCTTCCTAGAAAATTTTAATTAGTTCTATCACATTCCAAGAACTGTCTTATAATAATGATTTTAACATTTAATCCATATAAATTTCTTATTTAATTTTAATTTTAATATTTTATAAAATATATTTTTTTTATCATTGTATTGCAATATTATACATTCCCTGTTAATAGTGTATACAAAATGATTAATAGTGAATTATTTTTTTCCTCCCGCTAGAATTAATGATTTCTATTTATACTCAATGTATATAATGTATAATATTTTGCATTTACATGATTATAATTTGCCATTAATAAATTGAGTCCGAAATATAAAATGTAATATTATTTTACTTGATTAATTTTGAGAATAGCTATATTGTCAAGCAGTATTATTAGAAACATAACAGTATTATTTAATATTAAAATATTTACATATGATATTTAATTAAAATGTTATGATACATATTTAGGCTTACTATTCTATTGTGCAATCATTATATTATATAATATATTATAAAAATATTATTTTAAGTTAGTTAAGATTAAGATTAAGTTTTGTTTTCATTCTTTTCAGTTTGTGAACCGAATTAGATTACCTAAGACTTATGTGAATTATATAATATTGCATAAAAATATATTTTAATTTTAATTACAACTTAAATTGTTTGTTTTTTTTTTTACAAAAAAAAGTATCTTAAAAAAAAAAACAAGTTTTCAATTTAAAATTCATTATATGCCTTAAGGCCTAACACAAAACTTGTAAAATACAATTTTATTAAAATTAAACATTCAAGCAATATAATAATGTGTTTATGTATAAAAAATAATCAACTTTTAGGTTATAATTCTATCTTCTCAAACTCAGAATATATAATTTATAATGCGTTAAATTTTTAAAGGTACCTAAGATTAGACAATATAATATGCAGTCTTCTTTATAACTTAATAAGTATATAGTTCATCCTAGAACTAAAAAATCTAAATATTATAAAAAACTATTATAATATATAATTTTTTAAGACAATTATAAGTTCAAATTAATGCAAAATTCGCTATTTCAACTATATTTTCGGAGAGATTTTGAACTTTTACAATAATAGGATATCCACAATAGTTTTTTATAAGAGTCTGAAATTAAAATTTTAAAAAATTCATCAAAATCACCATAATTAGCAAATTCTTTTGAATTAGAAACTTAAAAGTGTTTCTATTTATATCTTAGCTTTGAAAATTTTAGACAATATTCATTATAATATATATTATATTGTATTCGTTGGGTTAAAGCGAGGGTTAAAGTGTTTGAAAATGTAATACAAGGTTTCTCATAAGTATTTATAATAACAGTTGAGATGTACACAGACTATGCTATAAATTCTTTGTAACTGCCTATTTAAAGTTCAAAATACCTTACTACTCCAGAATCATCATTATCGGTATCATCAGAACAATGACCTAATAAAACAACTATTAATTTAAGTACATTTTGTTAAATTAAAACAATTTATAAATAATTTTATTACTCTATTACCTAATTATGTAAAAAATAATATATAAAAAAAAATTGTAAAAATAAAGATATGTTGAAACAATAAAAATGTAACAAATGAAAAAAAAAGTTTAAAACCCTAAAATGTTCAAATTAATCTAAGTTAAAATATTAAATTTGTACAGCCAAGAATTGAAAATTTCAAACAATGATTCTCGTAAATAGTTCATACTTTAACCAAGAAATATAGTCATGCACAAAGTTTGTTTTACAGGAATTTTATTAAGTTCGAATATGGACGAAATTACATGATTAAATATTAAATTAAGAAGAATAACAATTTAAAATATTTTATTGTAGGTAATTTAAAAATATTATTCGTAGATACATAAAACTTTTAGAGTAGGTATCTATATTATATTTTATAAACACAATGGTATTTTTAAATGTAATTTTTTTGACAAAAATTAAAATTAGATGAACTTATAACTATAGGATTTATATAAATTTTATTAAATAATACATTTTTTATTAATAATTTAATTAAATTTCAATTCAGAGTGTATATTTTAGATTCTGAGCAGATCGATGAATGTACTGATTTTACAATGGTGTGTGTTTTTTTATTTAGTTTATTTTTTGTGTGTCTGCAGACAGATGTATAGGTACATAAAAATTTTTCGAAATAATGCTTCGATTTTCAACTTCAGTAGCTTTTCTGGTTGGAAAGTGAATCTAGTTACTGCATTAGGGAGGTTGAAATTCCTAATAGTTTTCAAAAGGACCGAGAAAACTAAAGGAAAAATTGGAATTTTTACACAAAATCAATTTTAGATGTTAGTGTAACTATCTAAAACAAATTACCATAGACCCATGAAATTTTCAGCAAATGTTAAATCTGACATTTTCTATACTTAATACAACTTTCAAAATATTTCAAATCTTTGTAAGTTATTTATAGACATTTGAAATTTTATGTTTTTTAGAATCTTATTATATAAATGTAGATAACATTTTATTTATTGGATCAAAAAACTTAAAATTTAATAAAAGGTTCCACGTAAGTAGTAGTCGATTCTGCTGCAAAAAAAATATAAAAACTACAATAACAGTTTTTTTTATAATTATTTTATGTTCAAATTTGTATGAAATTACATATCAAATAATCAAGAATAACAATTTTATTTAGATTGTTGTCATTTAAAAATATTATTTGTGGGTACTTAAATTTCTAGAGTATACTTTATATTCTAATATTAATAATTGATGTCGTTAATATCTTATATTAACACTTTATAATAAATTGTATATACCTTCTATGAATGACTGAGTGGGTCGGGTACATAATGAATCTGATTTGATTAATTTGGAATTTATTTTATAGATACCTAGATACTTTTTTTTTTTATGAAATAACAACAATATAATTAATATAGTATAACATATTTACAATATCCTAGACTGACAAACTGTGTCCTCTCAGAATCGTTTTTCGTGTAAGTACAATAATATTATACAACATTGATTTCAAATTTAATACCATCCGTTACAGTAACCCACTTGTAACTTACTATAGAGCAGAGAAACATCTACTTGCCCACTGTTTTTTGGTTGATCTTAGGCAATGCTTTCGAAATATTGAAGTGCATAATCTGTTTCATGTAACGAGTGTTTAAAATCTAAAAATTAGCTTGCTGTAGTAATACCTATAGGCTAATGCCTAAAAGTTTTATAAATTAATTTAATCACAATAATTATACCATCATTCATCGAATATATACCTACTTAGTACTTAGTAATAACTAATAACTAATACGAATACCAACTTATATTATAATAAGCTGACCATCTTCGCTCAGAATCATTTCTCGTACACCTACATTCAATGATTTTATATCATTGAATTCAAATTTAATTTTTAATAATTTATAATAACTATCCAATATCCATTTATTACATTGATTTACATAGGCACCGGCAGACATTTTCCTTGGTGGGAGGGGGGGGAATATTAGTATTTGAGGAGAGATATCATAATTTTACTAGGTATTTTATACCAACAATTTTTAACAATATTTTGAAAAAGCCAGGGGGAAATTAATGTCCCAGTTTGCCATCTACCAGGCACCTATAGTGGCCAACTTGTAGCCTATTGTACAACAAAGCGACACTCACTTACCTACCAGTTTTTATTTTGCAAACACCCTTCAAAATACTAAAATACATTTTTACCATTGGTATTATTCTTACTAAGACACTAAGTACGAAGGTTATGGAAAAGAGAAGTTCTCCTAATATTTTCATAGCTATTTTCGTTTTTAAATATATACCTATTATAAATACCTACGTTAAGTTATTTTTTAAAAAATTGTATTGCCGAACGAGGCAAATAATTGGAAGAAAGAAGACGAGTATAATATGTTTCTTCAAACTTGGCTATTCTCAATGATGTTGAAAAACACATTGTAAGTCACTGTAATAAATATGTATTAAGTACTAATTTAAATAATTTTTAAATTTAATTTATTTCAATGATGAATTACAGTTACAGCATAATAATATATTTAAAAAAAATTATTCTAAGTGGAGGCRACGAATCAACTACCTATATAGTATTACCTAGGTAGGTATATGTATAATGTATACCTATTATACTGTATTATTATTTATGTTGCTATTAATTACTAATTAGTAAAGGTTTTATAAATTGTTTTACTATTATAAATTAGTAATGTGGTAGATATAAACTATAAACAAGCAACAGCTTAAAAATAATCTAACGTCATTACCTATTCAGTTAAGTATAGATAGATAGGTAGGTGTACTTAATATTAATATGTAAGTAGGTAAATATTTTAAGTTCCTGTTAGCCGTTAGGCCACTAATATAAAATACCTATTTGAATTACAAAAAAATGATTAAAATCATAATTCTCCTTTATAATATACCTATTATTTCGTCAAAATTTGAATTTAAATGTAATTTTCAATATAATATTATAGGTACACAATGTTCTATTGAGATTAGTGTCATAGTTTTATGATTTTTATATAGATATTAGTATAAAACCAATTAAATTTATTTTTTTTAAATATTTCGTTATTATTATTTTTATTATGTAAAAAATATGTTTGTTTATATACAAAGTCTTTTAAGAAATACATATGCAATAGAATATAGTATTATGCACTTATGCAGGCATGAACATTCTCTAATATTCATGTATGTAATATACGATTAGTGATTACTGCCTTATCAAAAAGTAATTAATTGATAAGTGCCAAGTGTGCTGCTGTGCTGCATCATTATTCATCAATCATCAGTCGACTATAGCAAATAATATCGTAATGTTGATTTAACTACCTTTATTGTTGCGAAATAAATGGAAGTACCTAATTTATAATAGTTATATTCCATAATTACCTATTGAATTGATATTGGATTCTTAGACATCTGTTGTTAATTAAATTGCATCAAATATTAATGTTGATCGCAGTTGAAATTGTTGAGCTACTGAACGTATATTTCCAGTAATTATATTATAAGGTATGGATAAGTATCTACAGCCTAGTTTTTTATTGTATTATATATGTTTTTATGTTTGGATGTAGCCATTAGGTTTTCCTGTTGATAAATCATAATGTCCAAATTATACTTGTGAACATTTTAAGCTTCAATACTGTTTATAAATTTATTTAGTATTACATGTTATACAGCCTAATACTTATTTTTAATTCGGTCTCATTATATAAATTTGGTTTTATGAACACTGTTGAAGGCAGTGCCTCAACCAAACTCAACGAGTGGATCTGAAATTGTCAGAATCTGATGTAGATCAGTAAGTTTGAGATAGGTAATWAAATAATAATTATTAAAAATATAATATATTTTACTTGCTGTACATTGTAAAAAAATGTGAAAAACCCCAAAATCACTACTAATTTAATCACAGAAATTACGGAAATGGTGATATGTATGGACAACTTCTGGGCTTCGATCAAAAATAAATGTTCTATTCGCTTTTGGTTGAACATATTGTTTTTTTTTTTTTTATGTCATAGGTACATTTTGTAAATATCTTATAGTACAATGGCCCAAGAAAATATAATACATGGATCTGCAATTCCTGATTATTTGTTAAACAGTAAATCAAATTTAAGTCAACACTTTATTCGATTACTCAGTGAACTTGGAAATAAAACTGCAATGGTAAGTTAAGAATTATTCAAGCACGTATTTCAGGGTGGCAATCGCTCCCCCCCCCCAAGTCGTATAATAGTCTATTTTTATGACAGTGAGACATAATCTTCCTGTGAAAAAAAATTTAAATCAGTTCTTTTTTAAATATAAGATCATACTAACAATTATGATAAAAATGTATTATGGAGGATTTAACACTACTAAAAATTAGTTTTGTTTATTTATGCGTATTTTATACAAAATAATCCAACAACCCTAATGTATAATATATATAGGTAATTAAAAATATTAAAAATGTATATAAAAAATATGTATTTGCTCAAGTTTCATTTCTCACTATAATGTTAATACATTTTAAATTAAAACAATAAATTCAAAAGTTCTTATATACTTAATAGTTAAATCAAAGATGAAATTCAACAAAATAATTTAATTAACTTATGTACCTTTTTGTTTACCTAATGGTCCACAACTAAATTTTAAAAATCAAATGCATTATTATGATATTAATTATCTACACGTTTAGTATCAAATATTATTCAATTAAGCTGTAATTCTGTGAATGAATAAAATATATAATAAGTATCAAATAACTGTTGAGTAATTCATATTGATTAATAAGCATACAAACATGTATACTGTATATGCTATTGAAAAAATWGTTATATTTTTTTTTCTAAATAACACTGTTACAACTTTTCTGTTTTATATTTATATTTATATTTTTTTATATTTCCGGTTATTTTTACAAAATAATTTATATTTTAAATTGCTGGTTTTAAGAAAAAAATTCACTTAATGTGACAATAAAACTAATTATTAATTTAGTTATAAATCATAGGGAAAAATGAGAAATATAAGTGGCAAGCATCAACTAAACCTAAGTGGTGGGAGAATACTTATTTGGCAAATATCAACTAAACCACTATGTCAACTTAAACTGTATAATTTTCAGGTTGACTTTCATGATGGGTCTTCATTTACATTCAGTGAAATTTTGCATGCAAGTTATAATATAGCAAACTACTTAAAATATGAGTTTGGAGTACAAAACTCTGATATTGTTGGAATATTTAGTGAAAACACAATTTGGTATCCATCTCTTTTACTGGCAGTATGGCATGTTGGAGGTGTTTGTGCATTGTTCAATCCTATGTATAATACAAGTAAGTTTGAAATAAATTGAAATCATAAGTATACTTTAATTATAACTGTACTTGTTCTTTATATTTTGCTATGCAAGTTTTACTTTCAACATGTTTATTATTATTATATCAATGTTAGATTGTTAACTTTTTTTATAAATAGGTCTGAAATATAATATAATTTTTAGTAATTAGTATACATATATTATAGGTACTACATTTTTATTAGTTTACCAAAATATATGTAATGACATTTAAATTCTAATAATTAGCAATTTAATAGATGTTTTAATATTTGTCATATCAAACATTATATTTTCTTATTAATATAAATTATAATAAGTTAATATATTTTGTAATTATAGTTCATAATCTACTAAAAATGTATACTTATCAACACATCCACTCCATATTAAAATATCAGAAATATTATATCATTAATTTTGCTATGATTGTTGTTTTTACCAGAGGAATTAACACATGTGCTAAACATAACTAAACCAAAAATTATGATAACATCAAAAATGGGGTTGGAAATTGTAAGAAATACTGCCAAACCTCTGGATTTTATCAAATATGTGTGTCCTATCGATATACTTTGTAATACTAGAACTACTGAAGAAAATTATAATTTTGTACCAACCCCACGTGACAACAAACAGACTTGTGTGATATTATTTTCAAGTGGAACAACTGGATTACCTAAAGGAGTAGAGTTGTCTCATAAATCTATATATCTCATGATTTCTATCTTAAGGTTAATATGTCTTTTACAATTTATTTTATTTCATTAATAAATTATAAGTATTAAGTATATGTATACTTTCACAAGTTTATCTGTATGTTATGACTTGTATTCTAAATGGTATATTTTAAATGATTGTATAATTTAAGTATGTTGAAAATTATTAGATAGCCCGACTAGTGTAGCAGATGATAAAATATTAAAATATAGTAAATAGTATCTAATATTCCAAGTGTATTACATTAATTAATAAGTGGAAATAGATATTTGTGTTTGTATCATTATAGATATCAAACTATCAAAGGTACTATTATTTTAATATAATCATATTTCTTTTTAATCTTTATTAATATTTACATTGTATAGTAAAATGTTACCTTACTGCTGAAGTTATGAAAATATGTGTTAAAATATACTTTCATTTTTACTTTTTAGTCACATTGATAAATTTACTACTCAAACTGATACCATGATGGGTCTAGTGCCTATGTTCCACGGATATGGATTACTGATAATATGCATGTGCTTGTCAATTGGCAGCAAGGTCATAGTGCTTAAATATTTTGATGAAGAATTGTTTTTAAAATCTATTGAAGTTCATAAAGTATGTATAAGATAAATTAGTCTTAATTGRTTTGTCGATTTGTCAAATATGTAATTAATTGTTTAATATTTACCTAGATTACAATTGTATTTGCTGTACCSCCGTTGATGATATTTCTTGCTAAACATCCATTAGTAGATAAATACAATTTATCATGCTTGAATGTAATATATTCCGGTGCAGCTCCATTATCCTTAGAAATTGAAAATGAAGTAATCAATAGAATAGGTAAAAGTAAACCATTAAAAGTATTTCAAGGATATGGAATGACTGAATTATCAATTGTATCAACAATTCCTGGTCCAAATGAAGCTGAACATGTTAACGGTTCAGTTGGGAAATTAATATGTGGCATGTCAGGAAAAGTAAGTTTTGAACATAATTAGTTTATTTTTTTTAAATTAAAATTAACTTCATTCATTATAAATGATTGTAGGTGATTGATTTAAATAATGGAAAACCATTGGGAGTAAATAAAAGTGGCGAATTGTGTTTCAAAGGTCCCATGGTCATGAATGGTTATTATGAGAACCCTGAAGAAACAACAGCAACAATTGATGATGAAGGGTGGCTCCATACAGGGGATGTTGGATACTTTGATAAATATCATAATTTTCATATTGTTGATAGACTCAAAGAACTTATCAAATACAAAGGATATCAGGTGAAAATTAAATCAGTTTCTTTATTTTATAGTGTTTTCGTGTTAATATTATATTTCTTCTACCTGTAGGTGGCACCTGCAGAATTAGAATCACTGTTATTAACACATCCTGAAATTGAAGACGCAGCAGTTACTGGACTTTCAAATTTAGAAGCCGGTGAACTTCCAATGGCGTTTGTAGTTAAAGCTCCTAATTCAACTCTTAGTGAGAAAGATATTGTACAATTTGTTCACAGTTGAGTAAACTATTAAACTTTGATATTTTATTAATTTAACTAACTTATGTTATTATTTGTTAGAAAATGTTTCAGCACAAAAGCGTCTTAGAGGAGGTGTACAATTTGTGAAAAGTATTCCCAAAAATCCAAGTGGTAAAATATTACGTAGAGTACTTAAAAGCCAAATTAATCAATCAAAATTATAAAAATGAGCACAGTAATATTTTATTGAAGATAGATTAGTGTACTATGTAAACTAAGTACAGTTTATTTGGGGAAAAAATTGGAATTTATGTTAAGAKGTTTATTATTGTATTTAGTTAAAATAAATATGTTTATAAATTATAATTTGTGCAAGGCTAAGAAATTCAACAATTTGTTTTAAAATAAAACAAAAAGATATGGTATTTTATTAAGGTCATATTATAATCTTAAATAAATGTGTGTATTKAAATTAATTCCCGTGATTACTTTTATATTTGAATACTTGATTCAATGATGAAATCCAACAAAATAATTAAACTATAGTTATTTATACTCTTACCTAATAGTCCACAACTATACTAAACTATGATAACCAAATTTATTATTAGACATATAATTGATTACCTTCACATATAATTTAAAACATTATTCTATTAAGTTGTAATTCTAYGAATGAACAAGAATGTGATAAATTATAACTATTAAATTCATTGTATTATCCCACATAGATAGTCTAGTGATGAAAGTGGTACACTAAGTTATTAAATTACATCTTTATAAATATATAAAGATATAGTACTATAAAATAAGTAAAAATTTTACAGAATCACTGTCATAAAACTGATAATACATTTTGAAGGCAGCCATAAGTAATGTGTATTGAATGAAATGTTAATTTAAACCATTATTGTTTAATAGCTCGTCTTATAATTAAAATACAGTAGGTAATAACTAGAGGACAGTATTTTGTGTTTCATATAGCTCTAGATAATTAGATGCTGTTTTATATCTTGCACCTGATTGGTAGAAACATAAATAAGAAAAATAGTTTTTTTTWATTTTTTTTTAAATGAACTTGTATCAATTTTTATCAATTTTTATATAAAAATAACTTATAATACAAAAAAAAATTGTATAAAAAGTAAAAGTCTTAGAAATTTAAAATAAAAGTTATATTTTTTAATTACTTCATTTTTGAAATAAACTTTGTGCTTGGTAAGCAATGGTTTCAAATAATCAGAAAAAAATATAATTTAGATTTAAATCCATTCCCAATTAACTAAATGAAAATGATGAGGGCCTAAATACCATTGGACAATAAAAACATGTTTTACAGTCAAATTTTTTCTATTGGACAACCTCTTAAATTCGGTCAAAAAATATTTATACCAAATATAACTATTGCATTACATATTATACATATTATATATTCAACCCTGGGCATAAACGCGTTAAAAAGTTAAAAGTTAAGTTAATTTTAACTTTTAACTTAACTTATTTGAATTGATATAAAC